TGGAAGATACGTTTGAGCAGGAGGAGCAAGGTAATAGGGTGTTCACATGAGCAGTAACACTGAAACAGGAAACATAGGATGCATTTGGGCTCATAAACCATGATAGGGCTGTGGACATATGGGAGAGAACATATAATAGAATGCATTTAGGTAAGCCCAGGTTGGTGCCTCATGGAAGAGAAAGCTCAGAAAGCAGATTCCAACTGCGCTGAGATCTCGGAAGCTGTGCCAAGCAGTTTAAATTTAGTGTATAATGGAGAGCCTTAGATACTTCTGAGCTGGGAATATTTTGATGCACTCTCTGCTTTAGAAGAACCTTAGCAATGTTGGAGGGAGTCAGTTTGAAAGGAAAAGGAGATTGGACAGAGGAGGAAACAGGAAGAGTGGCAATTGGAACCCTATTGTAAAAATCAAAGGGCAAAGTGGCAGGACCCACAGTGGCTCAGGTGAGGTAGGGCAGGTAGTAGTGAGCCAGGTCTGCAGGTATTTGGAGATGGGCCCTAGGAGGTGCTGACTGTGCTGGGGGAGTATTGGGGATGTGCAGGATAGAGCCACTGGGGGAGCAACAGTTCAGTCAGGTAATGAAGGGTGAACAAGGCCCACTGTCTCGAAGGCTATGAGGCTCAGCAATGGGAGAAAGATGTTTTATTAAATGAGCCCTCAAGACAGCTTCTAACGTGTCTTACTAGGCAGATAGTGTATTTACTAGGCATATGATGTATTAATCATATGTAAGTCACACAACCATTGGCGGGCACTTTCTCTTTTGCCCCTCCCTCTCTCTCTTTTTTATTTATATTGATAAAGACACATATATTCCTATTATTTCCCAGGGCTTTAGAATTGAGCACTGCCTTTTAATTATGTGGTGTTCAAATTTGGCCCAGATTTGACCAGTGGGAGCCCTTTCAAGCTAGGTCCTTTGTCACTTGTGTTCTCCATCTGTTTTGAGCAAATTTTTTGTTACTACATGTCAGGTTTGTCTCGTAACTTGTATCCCTAGCTGTGGAATTAGCCACTGTCTCAAGGAGCCCTGGTTCCCAATAATGAGGAATAATGGTAGAAACTACGATCTGAGCCCTAGACATGCTCATTGTTGTTGAGGAGTCTTCCCTTCTATCAGTGAGCAAGCTGGGAGATAGATGTGCAGATATATACCCATACATGTGGCCATAGGTATGTGTGTATGTGTTGGTATGAACACATATGCAGAAATCACAAACCCATGCCTCCCGTTGCTATCATCCCTTCCAGTTTCTCATTTTCCTCTCTCATTCCATAGCCTGTATGTCAACCCACAGAACTGATTTGCTCAATAGTCTAGTGCATGTTTTTCATAGTAGTTTCATTCATTCAGCTACAGAAGCAAATCTAAGCATTCAGACTCCGCCGCCACCACCACCACCACCACCACCACCCCCGCCAGTTCTCTTGTAGCCCCTCAAGACTGGAGATACCAGATTCATAAATTGTTCTTTTGCACATTATCTTTCAAATCATTTTTATTGGAAATCAGCCCATACCCATTCTCAGTTCATGTTCTTCATTCTTTTTTTCTAACTGATGTACACTTCATTGATGGTATGAGTATGTATACTATGGCATGCCCACCCAAGTTCCTGTGCCTGGACATTTAGTTATATTGCAATATTTTGCATTTAAAGATTTTGCTGAGATGAATAACTTATACATTTGTATTTTTATATTGGTTGTTAGAGATGAATCTTTTAAATTCCTAGACGGTCAGTCAGATGGCTCAGTGGATTAAAGTGCCTGCTTAGGCAGACAAAGGGGCCGGGGGTTTGATCCCCAGCCCGCCATGCTACCCCAGCCCCAGGGCTCACTGAAACAGTGATTGAGACTGGGCATTGTGGCACACGCCTGTAATCCCAGCATTTGGGAGACTGAAAAACAGGTGGATCACTACAAGTCCAATCTGTGTAGTGAGACCCTATAGATCCTGTACTAAATACATTAAAAAAAAAAAAAATCCTAAAAATAGAATTGTAGGCGCAAACCATGTGCAGGTATATCTCTGTTAGGTATTAATCTCATTCTCTTCTATAAGAGCAAACTGTCATTTGTTTTCTTATCGATGTATGAAAGTACCCATTAAAAAATAAATAAATAAATAAAAATAAAAAAATAAAAATAAAAAAAAGATAGTACCCATTTCTCCAGTTATCTATCAGCAAGAACTTAGATACTTTTGCTAATCTAGTAGGTGAGAAAACCATATATCAGTGTTACTTTATTTTGTATCACAAGTGAAATTGAACATCTTTACATGTGTAACATGTGTGTGTGTGTAGTGAGTTGTTTGTACCTTTATCATTTTCTGTGGGATTTTTAGTGTCTTCAATTTGAGTTATTTATGTTAGATACATCAGCCTTTTATCTGTAATATAAGCCACCACTATTTTTTCCTGGTTTGTCATTTGCTTTTGCTCTTTTTTGCTACCATGCAAAAGAATTTTGTGTTGTTAAATCTTTTATTATCTCTAGGTTGTTTTTAAGTCTCTCTCTCTTTCTCTCTTTTTTTTTGTGTGTGTATTTTTTAGTAGGGACCTACAGGGTCTACAGGGGTCTCAGTACATAAATCGGACTCATAGTGACCCACCTGTGTTCAGCCTCCCAAAGAGAATTACAGGTGTGCGCCACCTCACCCAGTCTCAACCACTGTCTCAGTGCACCTTGGGAGCGGGTCTGGCACAGCAGGCCTGGGGATCAAACTCCCAGCCTGTGCACCTGGTTGCAGGTGCTTTAATCCACTGAGCTATTTGGCTGGCCCTTTCTAGGTTGTGTTTTTATACATATTTTTGGGAAAATTCACATAAATTTTCTCCTAGCACCTGTGTGCTTACATTTTTCATGTTTAGATGTACGCTCCACTGACCACTGATTCTTATAATACTGTGAAGAATAGATCCAGCAGCATCTTTTAAAGCCTGTATTTGCCCCCTCCTGGTAACTTAGGACACCACCTTTATCATTCACTTTATTTCTATATTTTCCTGGGGCTTTTTTTTTTTTTTTTTTTTGCGGAACTGGGAATTGAACTCGGGCCCTTACGCTTGCCAGGGAAGCGCTTATTCTACTGAGCCATCTCCCCGGCCTCCTGGGGCTATTTATAGACTTGTATATCATGAAATATTTTTAGTTCTAATGAATTTGAGTTTTCTAAACTTTTTTATGTTAGTACATCTTTGCAGGACATAATGATTACCTTCAATAGGTTCTTAATTTTCATTAAACATTTATATCCCAGTAGCTCCCAACATTTACAATCTAAAGGGGTGTTTTAGGTCTTTTGTTTTGCAGTATAATAGTTTCTTATTATTTCTTATACTTTCTCAACTTTCTGAAATCACCCAAACAGTTTAATCTTTTTAAAAATTTTTGAATGTTTTATCAGTTTTTAAGCAGTAAGCTTTAAGCGCAAAATTTTAACAGTCTCCTTCCCGCAGTATTGCCACTGATGCCCCTCTTTTCTTCATGGCCCCTCAGTGAAATGGGAGTTTTTTAGAAGCTCTGTTAACAGAGGTGAGCCAGAACGAGTCAAGAGCTTGAGTCTTTTCAGCTTCCTGTGACCTGTAAGAACTCAAGGCGAATAGTTTATTCTCCTTCAAATGGATGAACTGCCAAGTGCGATTGTCAAGTGCAGAAATGTGGGCAGAAGAGCAGTGTGGAGGAGCCTGACTAACTGGGTAGCCAGAGTTTTCATGTGGAACACTTCTAACGATTTGCTTCCTAAAGGAAACTAAGAAGAGCATGTGAATTTTCTTTCTTTTTGCTCTCACCTTGCACCCTTACCTTTGCTTGAATGGTCTCCCTTAAATGGAGTGCCTTGATTCTGTTAATGCTCTTTATTTTAAAAAAAAAAAAAATCTGTAAGATTCATTTAAAGGAGGTAGGACTCATGGCCCGTGTGGTTTTTATTGTTGTTGTTTGTTTTTTGTTTTTTCTTTTATCAAATTATATTTCAAGGAACATACTTTCTTAAGGAAAAAGTCTGGATACATAATCCTGTAAAGCTTTAAAAATGAAGCCAGGTTTAATTATGAATTTCATGTCACAGTTTTGGAAAAGAATTGCACAGAGGCCAGATATATTCTATAATTGTTCAGGGTTTTTCCATTTGGGTTTGGGTTTGGGTTTTTGTTTGCTTTTTTTGTTTTTGTTTTTGTTTATTTTGCACCAGGGATTGAACTTGGGACCTTGCACTTGCCAGGCAGGTGTGTATTCCACTGAGCTATATCCCCACCCCCAGTTTTTTATTTTTTGAGACAGGGTCTCACTGTGTAGTTCAAGCTGGTCTTGATGTGTAGCGCAGGCTGGCCTGAAACTCACAGTGATCCTCCCTCCTGAGCACTGGGTTTATAGGCATGTGCCACAATGCCCAGCCAGTATAACTGTTCAAGCTTTTGTTTTTGTTTTTGAGATAGGGTTTCACTAGTAGTTCAGGCTAACTTTGAACTCATTATGTAACCCAGGCTGGCCTCAGATTTGTGGTACTCCTCCTGCCTCAAACTCTTAAAGGCTGGGATTACAGGCATGAGCCCAGCACTATTCAGGTGTTAAACAGTGTGATATACAGTTCTTCTATATCTCTGCTATCTGAAAAGTAGTAGCCTACATTCTAATGTAGTCAAAACTATCATTCCTTTATAGTAGCTCTAGTCTTCTGTTACAGTACTTTCTCAAAGTTGAGACTAGGAATTCTATAAAATTTTGCTCCTAATACAAAGACCAACTCAGATTTTTGTATGTCTCTACACAAACCTAATGTAGAACTTGCTTCGGAGCCTGCTTGGCATGGGTCAACTTTTAGACCTCATTTCCTAAGTAGGACCTTAATTTTTTCTCTACAGACAGCAATTGCCTCTGTTGTTAATTGGTGGTGAAATGTTAATAAAATTAAGAGCATTAAAATGTTTTTACAGGCTGGTCTTTCTGGTCCTCTTAACACCTTCTGTCTTGTTCCACATTTTGTATTTCAGCTTTATAGCCACCAGCACAGTCAGAAAGAGAAATTTGAGCCCTAGTCCAGAAGCTGGCTCAGAGGACAGAGTATTGGGAACAGTTTCTGACTCCGAGCTTGAGCAGGTGGATTCCAGTGCAGAATCCCTTTCAGAGGGAAAGAAAAAACCCAAGAAATTAAAAAGAATGAAGAAAGAGCTTACCTCAGCAGGTCTGTATTGGATCTTACCAAAGTCCTGGGATTGTACTTTCCTTAAATGCTCTAGAAATTTATTGTGGGGAGAAACAATACGCTTTATTCAGTGCCAAAGCCTATGTTCTCTTTTACCTGGTCAAATATTCTCAGAGTTGTTGTATTTTGATTTGAGGAACTCTAGAAATCCCTGGTTCTGATAGCATTCAACTTGTGAGATCTCATTAAAGATGGTTAGTTCCTTTTGGTAATCTCTCTCCTCCATGGATCAGAGATTTTGATGTGTTTAAAGTTGCCTCAGAATTTTAAAATGTGCATTTAAATTTGCACAGAAGCCTTACTCCTACACATTATTTTCAGTAGCAGAGTTTACACTGTTCCCAGCAACACCGCAGGCAACCTGAATTTCTCTCCTAAGCAGAATTATATAAGAAGCCAAGGACACAGGAAATTAGCACATGTTGCAAGCCTAGTGCACGCCAGACACTGTGAGAAGGAGCCTTTTCTCTTGTTGTTTCACTTGGTTTTCACAACAGCGCTGAAGTGAAGAATCAGCCTCCATGCCGTAGTGATACAGGTGCCCAGCGCAGTATCAGCTCTGTGCAGCTGGTCGGAAGCAGCGCCCAAGGAAACAGCAGAGCCCAAAGCATGCCGCCGGGCCCCAGAGCCAGGTGTACCCAGGGGAAGCTCCTGCACCACCCAAGCCACTCCTTGCTGGGCAGAGTCCAAAAAGCCACCCCCTGCTCTGAGGCACATATGGCCATGGCTTGGTCAGACAGCTGTTGCCATGATGATAACTGTAGCCACTGCTTACTGAGTGTTTGTTGTAAGTCCAGGACAAGCCTGAATGCTTGGTAAAATTTTTAATTTAAATCTGTGGTGTATTCATCACTTCTATTTACAACAACGGGGACTTGGGAGATGGCTCAGTGGAATAAGTGCTTCCCTGGCAAGCGCAAGGGCCTGAGTTCAAACCCCAGTTACGTAAAAAAAAAAAAAAAAAAAATGCTATTTACAACAACAACAAATGGAGGCCCAAAGGGTTATGTGCCTTGGTCAGGGTCACAGAGCAGTTAAATTTGTCCACAAGGAAGCCAGTGACTTCACCCATGGTGAAGCATAGAGCACTCCAGGTAGGAGAGGCTGATCTGTGTACCAGTCACAGTTATCATTCTCCTTTGTCTCACATGGTGACAGTTACCCAATTAGCATAGCTCACAAATCAAGGGAAGGCAGTAGGTAGGCAGTGGATCTTGACTTATACCCAGGCTGAGAATTCCCATTGTTTTAATAATTTGTTTTTGGCATTTGGCCTGATCTAACTGCAGAGAATTTTCTGAATCTCATTGATATTAATGAACTCACGGAAGCAACCAAAATATTGCAGATGCTTTATCAGTGTCTTGCTACACATCTCAGACCCAGGATATTTTGGCCATTCCCCCTGAATCTGGACATGTCCCTTTACTTGCCTCCCTTCCTTCCCTTAAATTAAACTGAGGAGAAGCTTTGAATCTGTAGCTTCTGTGGCTTTCACAGTTGGCACACTGGTGCCACTGTCCTGCTGCACATGCTCAAAAATGTTAAATATTAACCAGGAGCTGCCTGTCAGAGAGCATGCTGAGTACAAATCCTTCATGTATCTCAGGCTCCTGTTCGTGGGGCTGGGAATTGGTGTGTGTCGGGCAAGCTCTCCACCACTGCACTGTGCTCCAGCTCCTCCGGATCCTGCACAGTGTTCTGTCTCTGCTCAGGCACATGCTTTGAGGTTTTCTCCTTCTGTGGCACCATGATCTTTATTTATTTATTTATTTATTTATTTATTTTCTGTATTTAGGACAAGGTCTACAGGGTCTCACTACATAGATCAGACTCATAGTGATTCTCCTTTTTTCAGCCTCCCAAATGCTGGAATTATAGGCACGCTCCACCACGCCTGTCTCAATCACTGTCTCAGTGCACCCCAGGGGTGGGGCCAGCACAGCATGCCAGGTATCATACCTGGGCTGCTGTGCTCTGCCTAAGCAGGTGCTTTAGTCCACTGAGCTATCAGGCTGGCCCTGTGACACTATAATCTTTATTGAAATTAAAATACCTAATAATAGACTGCATTAATAGTTTCTTTGGCTTTTTTTACTCTTTATTTATTTGGTACAGTGTCTCGCTACACATCTCAGACCCATAGTGTTCCTCCTGTCCCAGCCTCCCCAGGGCTGGGATTACAGGCCTGTACCACCACCCTTGGTTTCAGTGGCTGGCACAGTATGCCCGGATTCCTAGGCCAATGCAGAATGTGGTACTGGGGATTGAACTCAGGTCCCTAGGCTTTCCAGGCAGGCGCTTGACCACTGAGCTATCTCCCCAACCCTAGATTGGTTTCTTACATAGTTTTCATTATTTTAAATGAGAACTTTCTATAAGTTATTTAGGGTTTTGAACCCATAGTTACAGTAACAAAGTAGGTGGTTTTTTGGTTTTTTTTTTACTTCTCATTGACAGTAAAGATGTCAGTGCCAATAAGATTCGAGCTAAAAAAAAAAAAGTACATTTTGTACTGCTGAAAAAGGGAGAGAAGAAAGACATTATGACAACTTTATTAATCAAGCTTTATTCTGAGGCACTATTTGCCAAATGATACCTTCTGACCACAAAAGATAGAAGTTTCTCTATTTGTTTTCCGAATTTAATCCTACTAGTGTCTGTAGGATATAGGTTAAAATACCAAGTACTGAACCTGTGGAATCATTTGATTTTGCTTGCTTAGTTTCTTGAAAGGGGACCTGTAGCTGAATGTGGTGGCACATACCTGTAATCCCAGTATTCAGGAAGCTGAGGCAGGAGGATCAGCATGAACTCAAGGCTGGCCTGTACTATATAATGAGAACCTGTCTCAAATAAATAAATAAATAAATAGATAAATAAATAGATAAATAAATAAATAAATAAATAAATGGAAAGGGAAAGGAACCTGCAATGAGAGTGAGTGCAGAGTTCCAACCCTGTCAAGGGACTGTGTTGAACCTCCAAGGTACTTGAAGTGGACCAGAACCAAGAAGGCCTGGGTCACGTGATGGGAGCTGGGCTAGAATGTGGCTCAGCCAGTCCAGCTAGAAGGGATTCTGAGACCTTGGCTCTGAGCACTCGTTCTCAGAGAGCATTTTGACAAGCCCTCAGTTGGTTTTTGCAGACTGGGCTCAAGGGCATGAGAGACATGGCAGGCAGGGCCCACATGGGATTTTCTGTTTCCCAAAGAAGAAGTAGTAAAAGCAAGGAAATGGATGGAAGATGGTGTGTTACAGCAACCCCGGCACAACTGTTACTCAAGAAATGCCACAAAGCATAGTGTTGTTGATTTAGGCATTTTAATTTCTTTTTTTTTTTAATTGTATTTGTGTGTGTGTGTGTGTGTGTGTGTGTGTGTGGCCAGCTCAGCCCATCAGCGGACGGGGCTGGCTGGCATGTGGTGCTGGGGGATTGAACCGCGGTCCCTGTGCTTTGCTAAGCTTGTTCTAAGTAGATGCTTTAGACCACTGAGCCATCTCACCAGCCCCGGCATTTTAATTTCTAAGGTCCACTAAATGTTAAATACTAGGCCCTTTCACAAATAACAAAATGACCTGAATAGCAGAAATAACCACTTATTAGAAATACAGATATAGATACAGACTTTTGAGACAGGGTCTCTCTATGCAGTTGAGGCAGGCCTTGAACTCACTCTGTAGCCCAGGCTGACCACAAACTCATGTCAATTCTCCTGCCTCAGCCTCCTGGGTGATGGGAGGAGATGATAGGCATGTGCCATCATAGCCTACAATTAGGTTTATGTTACATACATATAATGTGCTTTTATTACTTTGGGTGGCCTCTAAAACACACACTGAGGCAAAGATGTTCCCAGCTGCAGAGAGGAAACTGAGGCCTCTAGTTAAGTTCTGAACAGCTGGAAGCTAGAGCTGGTGAGTTTGGGGCTATGGTTCGAGAGCTCCTGTCTGTGCCACTCTGCAGTGGTGCACCTCATCCAGAACCCCAAGGAAGCCAGGGATTCTTGAGAGGTGTTTCACAGCTGCTGTAGATCAGAATCAAATCAGTCTGAACTTCCATACAAGGAAGCCCTTAGCAAGCCTGACATGGTGGCATGTGCCTGTAATTCTAGCTACCCTGAGTCTGAAAGAGAAAGTCTGCAGGTTCAAGGCAGCTGGAGCAACGCCGTAAGACCTTGTCTCAAAATAAAATAAGGTAGGGGGCTGGTGAGATGGCTCAGTGGTCTAAAGCACCTACTTAGAACAAGCTTAGCAAAGCACAGGGACCATGGTTCAATCCCTCAGCACCACATGCCAGCCAGCCCCGCCCCCTGGTGGGCTGAGCTGGCCACACACACACACACACACACACACACACACACACACACACACACATAAATTTTTTTTTTAAATAAGGTAAAATAAAATAATTTTAAAGTGCTGGGGATACACCTTAGCATTCCATGAGGTCAGTCCCCAGTAGCAAGCTGTCACTATCCTTCAGGACTTCTACTTTGTGGACACACTGTGCTCAGCAAACACTTTTTTCTCTTAATTGTGTTTCTCTCCTGTTTTCAAGAAGCAAATGTACGATGCAAATCTCCTTGTATGTGTATTATGATAAGTGGTGACTGAAAGTGGTGACAGCTACTGCATGCCATTTATGCAGGGATGCAGTCTTGGGGAAGTGTGGTCATTATTCCTGGGTCAGCCTTAGTTGATGAGTTTCTATAATATGCCAGTTCTAGCTGAAAGTGGAATTCCAGGGGCCTGAAAAACCCCAGCCTCACCCTTACCTAAGAAGTTGTAGCCTACCCACCCCATGGGGTCTCGTGCTGTCTGTGCTGACCATCCTTAAAACACTGTGGATAGTGCCCAGGCTGAAGGTTCCTGCAGCTCCTAGCTAGGCCCAGAGGAAGAGAGAATGACTATTTGTAGACACTTCTTGTCCTACAAATAGAAACAAGCCAAGTCTTATCCCCTGTCCTTTTTTTTAAAGTTCATTTTTGTTTCGTTCGTTCACTTTTTGAGACAGGGTCTCATTTTGTAGTCCATCCTGGCCTTGAAGTTACTGTGTAGCCCAGGCTGACCTGAAATTTGCAGTGATCTTCCTACCTCAGCCTCACCTGCTGGGATTACAGGTGTGTGCCACCACCCCCAGCTTTCCGCTGTCCTTTGAAACATAGCATACCTGACATGGTAACACATGCCTGTAATCCTAGCACTCTTGAGGTTGAGGCAGGAGGACTGCTATAAGTTCAAGGCCAGCCTAGACCACACAGTTAAATTTGTCTCAAAAACAAATAAAAAAAAAAAAATGTAGAACATTAGACCTTTACATGTTTGCCAAGAACCATAAGTGTTTTTGGAGTCTTGACAAATCTGAACTTTTCAAGCTTAAACTTTCAGAGTTACAGAACACAAATACAAAATCTCCATTCTTAGGGCAGCAGTCTCCTCATGCTATAACAGGTCAGCAATGAGACATCCTGGTGACTGATGACCACTTGAGTGACCAAACTAAACATGTCTAGCAACCTCCCAAGAAGGCTTTTAATAACTTTATTAAAAAGTGGCACCAGAGGCAGGTGCTGGGCATGTGGACAGCCATGAAGTGCACGTCCACACCTTTCTTGGTCCTCTAGAAGCTCCGAGAGCTTCCCGTCAGCTCCCTGCCTCCTTAAAGTGGGGAATCTCATGTGCATTTCCTGGTAGAGAACTTGTGTAGCTGTCCCCAGGACCCTTCTGCTTGCCAAGTGTTCTTACTCTGCCTTTTACTTGGTGCTACATCATCCTGTGTATCTATAATATGCAGCTTGTTTTCCCTGTGTTCTTGTCAAGTAATCTGACTTATCAGCATAATAGTTCATGTTAAATTTGTATTTATTTATTTTGGACTGTATCTCAACTGTATCACCCAAACTAGTATCTAACCCATGTGTTCTGGTCATCTGTGTGCCTCAGTCTCACAAACAGCTGGGACTACAAGTCCTCACCACCATATCCAGTTAGAATTTTTAGACATTGTTCCTAATGTTTCTCACAGTTTGTTTTATCAAGATAATGTGCGTATAATAAAAGCCATCACTTTCAGGTATGCAGTTTAGTGAATTTGTACAAATATGTGCAGTCATGTCACCCCTTTGTGATGAAGGTGTAGAATAGTTCTGCCATCCCAGAAGGTGTTCTCACGTCCTTTGTTTTCAGTCCCCTCTGGATCTGTAGATCCTGGCAACTGCTGGTTTACTGCCACTGTAATTGTGCTTTTCCAGAATGTCTTACGAATAGAATCCTGTAACAGCCCTTTGATTCCTTCCTTTAACTTCTTTCATGCGTTTATGTGAATCCTTAGGTCATTCCTTTTCATGACTGGCTAGCATTCCATTTTAAGGATGTATGGCTATTTAACCATTCCCCCATCAAAGGATATTTGGGTTGTTGTCAGTTTTTGACAATTGAGAATCAAGTTCCTGTAAACATTTTTCATTTTGTTTTTGTTTGGTTTGATTTTTTGAGCTAGTAGGAGGCAGATGTCCTTAGATATCTATGTAAAGGAAAAATCTTTCCTGAATGATTCTTTGCTCTCTAGTAAAACAGGACTGTGACAATGACTTCCGGAAAACTGCCCAGAGTTCCTTAGGTGCTGACTCTGAGGCTACCTAGACCCTCCCCTTGGAACACATGGGAAAGCTTGCTCACCGTGACTTTTGCCTCCTCTTCCCTCAGTGTCCCAGGTCTTACTTCCCTGTACACATAATTCTCACTCGGCAACTGCACCTTTAAACAAAGAAAACAAGCATGTTTTTGACTATGTGCAGCCTCCTGAGAGACAACCAATTACAGTGTTGTGCATCATTAGTAAAGGGTCCAGTATTCACTAAACCCTTCCCGGGAACTTCGCTGTCTCACAGAACCCTACATAGCATAAAGTAATGTGAAGTCATTTTGTAAATGAGCCAAGGAAACGTGCTCAGTCATCAGAAAAATTAGCACCCTTTTACTTATTGCAAAGCTTTGGTTCTTCTGTTACTTTTGCCCAGTTCTTCACAAAGTCCAAACTTGCTGTGGGAACAATGCCTTACAGCCCTACTCATACACTGCAGCAAAGGGCAGGTGCAAATTGCCAGCTTTTGCAGTGCATTTGCTTTTAGCAGTTTATCTTCCTTTTTCTTCTCAGGTGACTTTAACTTCAGTTCTTCATATTCAGCTTTGAAGCTTTTATCTTTTTTGTTTTAGAGGGGACAGAATCTCACTGTGTCATTCAGACCAGCCTTACACTTGCTATATCCCTGGCTGGCCTAGAACTGGGGATACTCCTGCCTCAGCCTCCTCCTAAGTGCTGGGATTATAGGTATACGCCACCAAGCCTGGATGAAAGAGGTGTTTTTTTTAAAAAACCATCTTGATTCCATTCTTTTGCAGTACTGGGGATCAAACTTGAGACTTTGCACTTGCCAGGCAAGTACTTGCGCAACTGAGCTATCTCCCTGGCCTTTTGATTCCATTCTGACTGGCTCATGTGAGTCTCTCCTCACAAGTCTTGTGGGTATCGTTGGGGTTCAGGACATGCATATTCATTGCTATGTCTCTCTCCTGTCACTTCAGCCTGACTTTCTGACTCTTATCACAGTAAGGGATCAGAAGTGGGAATTCTCGAATTAGCTTTCATTTGTATCGTTAAGCATCTGTGTTGTGGACAGTGGCCCCCTTAGCTTGAGTGGTGCCCTACTGCATGTAGTATATCCCATTCTGAGATGTCACCAAAGACTTTTCCCATTTGGGACCTTTATATGTTAGCAGCTGGGATGGAGGCTGTGCTGGTTTTCCCTGCCACCTGCCAAAAGGCTTCAGCAGGGCTGGCAGCTGTGTACTTTCTTAACTCAGTTTTGCTTACTGAAGGCCAGATGGCAGTGTCCCCTCTGCCCAGCTGTGTTACTACCACTGCTGCTGTCACAGAATTTATGAATGGAAAAGAAAGGATTCTAATGGGGGGGGGTGTATACCAGAAAAGATCTCTTCAGTCCCAAGAGGCTAAGCCAGTGTTGCTGAAATTGAGCAAAGCTACAACTGCTTTTGCCACCTTGGGACCTCTGAAATCTCCCTGGTCCTTCCCTCTACCCTGTGACTGCCCCAAAAGTTTCTCCTGCAGGTGCAGCTGCTGCACAGTGGAGAGGGCCAGATTCCTAGCCTTTGGCAAGGCTTGTGGTGCTGAAGGAGGATCCAGACGGCCCTCACTCTGGCTAGCTGTGTGTCACTGGTCCCATCCCTCACTTCTTTGAGTCTCCTCTTGCAATCTGGAACAGAGTTGGTGATAGCCATGACAGTTACATGAATTAAGCACCCAGCATGCTTGCTAGCAAAAATATAATGTAGGAGCAGGGGGAGCTCTACTGTAAAAGTTACAAAGTCTTGTAAAATATGGAAACAGAGGCACCCAGACCTCAGGCTGGGGAGGCGCTATACTAACACCACCTGTGATGCGTTCGTTTACTGTGCACAGGTCTTCATGGCCAGGGCCCCTCTGCAGATTTTTTACAGCTATGGGCAGCTATGCAGCTGACCCCTCCCTTCTGGCTGTCTGCAGCTGTCTGCAGTAGTACAGGGTACTGGTCTCCGTGCCAGCCCTGATGTGTTCTCTCCACAGGACTGTCCTGTTGTAGTTCTTACTTCTTTCTCCTTCCCCCTCCCGCCCCCCAGGAAGCATCGCAGTCAGCCCTACCAAGCTCTTTGAAGTTCCTGACACATGGTAACCAAGGCCAGAGTGGAGCAAACTGCTGCTGCCATCGTGGTGAGAGCGCCAGCCAGCACATTTGGAAGCCATACTGAATGTAATCGAATGTGGTATGGGAGGGGTTTAAAACCAAGGGTATCTCCCAAAAAGACCAATTTTTATTTTTGTGGCTGTTTCTCTTTCCCTTATTAAAGTAAAGTAACTCTTGACACACACACACATTTGTAGGCTACCATCAACATGTATGTTACTAGTTATGTAATCATTTATTACTCACGTGAAACCCATCCTGCCATGAATTAGTGTCTGAGAATCTACCTGCTGGGGAAGTGGACTCAATATTGGAAAGAGCCAGCATTATGGGTGCTCTGATCATGGATTTGGGGCTGAACTCCGTACAAAGAGGTGCAAATTGCTCCTCTGCTGCCCAGATTGGGGGACGCTTGGCTTTGGTCAGCCTCCCCTTGGGGAAACTGGTGTCCCTGTGTTCCCCGCCATAACCACCTGAAAGTAGTTTATGTTCAGGCTTGTCTTTCCAGGAGGAAAGATAGCAGGAAGATGTCTACCAGTGTCAGACCCTGTCTTAGTGTATGCCTTTGGGGCATATCTATGTAGCTTTTCCTAAGACATGGGCTTTTTATGGGGGTATCTGGGTAAAAGTTGATTTCTGTTCTTACATGAATACTGTGTTCAGTTTGCCATGTTGGCACCTGGTTGCCCTTTCTGTCATGTGTTTCTGTGTGTGTTTGGGGTACAGTGGCGTGTTTCCACACATGCGTGCATGGGAGTGAAATCATCACAAAGTTACACGTGTCAGCCCTCTCTGTAAACATAACACAACAGCAAAACAATTTTTTAAAAGTCATGGATCTCCTTCAGTAGATCTGCTTCAAAAAGATCATTGTTAGATATTTAACATTTTGTATTGTGGAAATAAAGAGGAAAATGTTTTTCCAAAAGATAAAATTAAAGAAATTTTCATAGAACTTTGTTCTTTCTCTTTTTACTAAATAAATGCTGTATTTGCACTTTACACAGATACATTTCTCACCTCGAAAAGAGCTGGTAAGTGACTGAGCCTGGTGTTCATAGATTTTATTTTCCTATTTTTGTCTCTGACTGCTGTCCCTGCCTCAGTCGATGCTGCCTCAGTGGGTGCTTCAGTTGGTGCTGGAGCCAAGCCCTGGTGACACTGACCACTTCAGAGGGTGGAAGGGACGGGGCTGCAGAACTTACATGGGAATCCCTTGTTATTGTTCGGCTTCACCTGTGTAAGACACTTTCCCAGTCAAGAGCCTCTTACTCTTTCCCCTTCCTGTCCTGCTGCCTGCCTTCCCTAGGGCTTTGTGGACCCTGACACACACTAGGGCTAGGCAGGACGGAGGTCCAGCCCTCCAGAGCTGCCATGGCTCACAGCTCAGTGGGAAGGTGCAGGTCCGATGAGATAGAAACAGTGAGGGTCTGAGAAGCTGCTGGCTGCGCCTTATAGATAGTGCCTACATTACTTTCTTTTTGGACTGAACGTGGGATTTTCCTTTTTTATTAGTACACATTTGCAGTATATAATGTTTACATTCTTTGGGTGAGTTGGTACGTGGATATAACACATCTTAATTCCATTTTTCTTCCCCTTCCCAGTTGCGAGTTATGTCTGTACTTACTACTTTACTTATTTATTATTGTCTTTTTTGAGACATGGTCTTACTTTGTAATTCAGGCTGGCACACTGAACTCACTTTGTAGCCCTGGCTGTCCTCGAACTCATGATCCTTAGCCTCCTGAGTCCAGGGATTTACAGGCATATGCCACCATGCCCAGCTGGCTTTTATTTTGCTCTTCATTACATTTCTTGTGAAAAAGAAGGGAAATTTACTCAAGGCTATGGGTTGGCACATATGTGAACACACCTTGTGTGGCAGGTGGCACATCACTTGGGCTTTGTATTATTGCTTGGCTGGGAGAGGGGAGCTTCTTTCCTGAGGTAAGGAGGTTTCTGTGTAGCACCTGAGCCAAGGCTTCCAGCTTGAAAGCTTTGCAGATTCACAGGCTGCACCCTGGCCGCTGGTTCAGGGAGGAGCTGGCAGGGCAGTGCTTTCTAGAAAGGACACATTCTCCAGAGCCTCGTGGAACTGTGTCTGCACAGTTCCAGCTGTTGATTCTAGAACATATTACTGACCCTCTCTGAATCTCAGCTTCTTCCTTCATAAAAGCGGTATAATAGATCTGCTCACCTCATAGGATGCTTGTCTGGGTTAAATGAATTCATGTGAAATGTGACAGCATACACACGTGAACATGAAGGTTATACTTTTGACCTGAATTCTCTCCATTCTGCCAGCTGGAGCTGACACATCCACAGTCACTGGGATTTGGCTTAGAATTAAGTGCTCAGTACATGCCCACATGTGACCAGTCTCTTTTCCTAGCTGCATCAAATAATTCAAAAAAAGTAAACTGGGCAGCCTCCTTCTGCTCTATACATACACACTAGGCCTTCATATTTTGAGACGAGGTTTCCCTGAATTACCCAGGCTGGCCTCCAACTTGTAATCAGCCTCAGCCTCCTGAGTAGCTGGAACCATGTGCCACCAGAGCTGGTTCATACCAGATTTTCTTGACATGTCTTGTGAGCTTAAAACTCTACGGGGGGGTGGGGGGGG